AAGCCATCCTCCTGCCTCAGCTCCCGAGTGGCTGGGACTACAGGCATGCGCCACCATGCCGGCTAATTTTTTATATATATATCAGTTGGCCAATTAATTTCTTTCTATTTATAGTAGAGACGGGGTCTCGCTCTTGCTCAGGCTGGTTTGAACTCCTGACCTTGAGACATCCGCCCGCCTCGGCCTCCAAGAGCTAGGATTACAGGCTGAGCCACAGCGCCCGGCCTCACTTTCTTTTTGTATTTTCATTCCAATATCAAGCCTTTATCAAATGTTCAACATGATTTTATATAATTTTTATAACTATTTTATTCATTTTATTTGATTTATTCTAAAATTTTAAAAATAATAAATTCTTAAACTGTGGAAACCACTGAAGGTGAAAAAAAAATAAAAAATAAAAAATAAAAAAATAAATGAAAAAAAATAAAAATAAATAAAGACCCCTTTTTTTTGAAAAGATGCCATTCAAAGAGAGCCCTTGTAACAAACTTGCATGTAGAAACTTGCTGTTTCACAGATAATGCACGTTCCCACTTTAACCAGGAGCTGTGCTATGGGCACGCAGGGGCACTCGGGGTGACATTAGACACCCAGGAGGGGCAGGGGAGGAGGAGGGTAAGGGAAGAAAAGCCACCTGCTGGGTGCAATGTATACCATGTGGGTCGAAGGCACACTGAAAATGCAGACGTCACCGGTATACAATTCACCCGTGTAGCCCAAAGCCACGTGTGCCCCTAAATCTACTGAAAACTAAGAAACAAAACCAGAAAGACTTACTGTTTCAGCGTCCACGAAGACTGTGGGGCATTCCAAGCACATCATCATCACCTCCAAGGAACTCTTGAATTTGGTGCCGATGCGTTGCAGACTGTCACCGAGAAAGCCAACGGCCTCGTTGGTTATGTCTGCAAACTTTCTTTGAATTGTCTGCGAGGAAAAGCACACAAAAAGAAGGCCTTTTATCACCTCTAAGTAAACACGCAAAACAGGGCAAACTTTTTGCTTTAAAATTATCGTGGTGATGGAATGCTAACCACGGATCCATATATCCATGGTTTTAGGTATTTTTTTTAAGGAAACATGTTCATTTCTAAAAATAATCGAAGATTTATAAAATAGTATTATTGAAAAATAATTAATGATGTATGGCATTCATCTCCCCATTCCTGAGATTTTTTTTCCATTAGGACAGAGGGAATGTAAGCTGTACAACCTTGGAAATAAAAGTCATCACATGGCAGAAGGAATTAGCATTTCTAAAGACAACGTTGGCTGGGCGTGGTGGCTCATGCCTGTAATCCTAGCACTCTGGGAGGCCGAGGCGGGAGGATCGCTCGAGGTCAGGAGTTCGAGACCAGCCTGAGCAAGAGTGAAACCCTGTCTCTATTATAAATAGAAATTAATTGGCCAACTAAAAATATATAGAAAAAATGAGCCGGGCATGGTAGCCCATGCCTGTGGTCACAGCTACTCAGGAGGCTGAGGCAGGAGGATCACTTGAGCCCAGGAGTTGGAGGTTGCTGTGAGTTAGGCTGATGATGCCACGGCACTCACTCTAGCCTGGGCAACAGAGTGAGATCTGTCTCAAAAAAAATAAAAAAATAAAAAAAAAATAAAAAAATAAAGACAACGTTATTACTTGAAAGAAACTTTCAGTAAATGTGGTCAAAGGCTGCCATCTGACTTAACTTTAATTAAAGTTATAAAAGTACATTAAGGGTAGTATCTTCTCAGGATCCAAGAACATCCATTTCCATAAAACAATCAGTGCCTGACCCATAGGACACACTCAATTAATTAAACTATATTATTAGCAGTAGAATTATTATACAGATAGTTAATGTGCACCTACTATGTATATGGGTAGCATTGTTAAGTGGCATTATGATTGATTAAAAATAAAAAAAAGCATAATCCGCAGTCTCAGCCATCAAGCAACTTGTAACATTGCTGGAAAGAAAAGAATACAAATAGAGGACCAAGTAGTAACGCAGTATGTAGAGAATTAAATAAATAGATGGTCCAGTTAATGAGCATGAAAGAACTTGCAGGAGGGAGGGCGTGGGGGCTGGAGCAGGTGGGAGAGCTTCAGCGAGAATACTTAGCTGGTTCTTCCAAGGTGGGCAACATTTGCTCAGGTGGGGCGGGGGGGAACGTGGTAGAAAGCTCAGAAGATAAGGACTTCAATGGTGGCATTGCCCTGTGCCTTGGTTTCTCCCTCCACAGAAAGCTAAAAAACAGTATCTATATTCCACAGTGGTGTTGTGACGATACTTAACGTAAAGCACGTAGCATGGCGCCTGGCTTGCAGTTGAGTACACTAACACGTTAGCTCATGTCATCATCATCATCATCATCATCATCGCCATCGTCATTATTACTATGGGTTGGAAGCAACCTTAAACAGCTACAATTTTTAAGGTCCCCCCAAGTGCAATGCACAAGTGCCAATTAATTAATTTTTTCTTTTTTTTTATTTAGGTTTTTTTTTTCTATCTTATTTTTTTTATTATTATTTGATTTCATTTTCTCTGTCTTATACTGTTCTCTCACACAAGCGAGAAGCGCCAATTAGTTTAACCTTTGGATTATAAGCTGATGTGTGCAATTTATCAGACGTTGGAGTTTTATGTTAATTGCCCTAGGGGAGATAACCTTTATCAGGCATTGCATAAAGCAGGGGTCCTCAAAACTTTTTAAACAGGTGGAGGGGGGGGCCAGGTCACTGTCCCCCAGACCGTTGGAGAGTGCGGCCCATGTTCCACGCATGCGCGCTGTGGGCCTGGGACGAGTTGGCCGCACAGCAGGACAGGCAGCGGTGGCAAAAACACCCAGCGGGCTGGATCAATGTCCTGGGGTGGGGTGGGGTGGGGTGGGGTGGGGTGGGGGGTGCCGCAGTTTGAGGACGCCTGGTATAAAGTTACCAGCAGCACTATATAATGACACCGTGTAAATTTAGGTAATACCACTAGCTTAGAAAAAAAATTAAAAATCGTCTTTACTGACACTTGACTACCTGGGAAGAAAAAAAGAAATAAAAAAAAATTAAAAAAATATATATTTTTAATTAAAAATAAATAAAAAGAAATTAAAAAAAAAAGAAAAGAAAACAAATCGGAGTAGCAGGAATGCTGAAACTGGATGCTGGTTTTAGGGAGAAACTGTCTAAGTGGATCAGGTGAGGCCAAGGCGCATCTAGAACCTTCCAGCGCTCTTATACCCAAGGGGTTGGGGGGGCACAGGCAATATAAGCAACCTTAAGACTTGCACCCCCATAATACGCTGAAATAAAAAATGATACCCATCAGTTGTATGAGCTATCTTTGTCACAGAAAAAAACCCAAGAAATTAAAATAATAATAAAAATAAATCATCACCATCATAATAAAATAATATTATTCATAATATTTATTATAATAAATAATATATAAAATTAAAATTTATAAAAATTATTATAATAATATCATACTATCATAAAAAATAATTATTTGTATAACATTTATTATAATAAAAGATTAAAATAAAACTTTTAATAAAATTAAAAAATTTATTTACCATAACAAATAAACAATCATCCACCATAATAAAATAATTATTATTTATAACTAAATTATAAAAAATAAAATTTTAATAAAAATTATAAAATTTATTATAAATAATAATCATCACATCACAATAAAATAATATAATAAAATATATAAAATAAAATTTAAAAAATTATAAAATTTATTATAATAAATAATAAACCATCACCATCATAAATAACTATTATTATTATAATTTCTAATAAATAAAAACAAAAATAAAATTTAAATAAAACTTATAAAAAATAAAAGATAAAAATTAAAAAATTATATTAAAAAATAAAATGTATTTATTTATAATAACAATAAATAACACATTTTATGAAGGCCCCGCCCGCTGACCTGGAAGAGGCGGCGAACACGGGAAGGTGGCGCGGCGCATGCGCCGTCGCGGTCCGTCAGCACCTGGCCGGCGTGGCAGCGCCAGGCGTCCTCGTCGTCGTCGCAGGCGGCGGGCCGGAAGGCGGCGATGATGGCGGACAGGAAGGGCGACGGCGGGGCGACGCCTGCTCGTCCGGGGAGCCGTCGCGCTCCTCTTCGTCCTGGCTGCGGACACAAACACCCGGTCACCTGGCGCGGGCCTCGCCGGCGCGGCCTCCCCGCGGGGACGGCTCCGAGCCGCTGAGCGCGGCGGGGGTCACTGGGGTCACCGAGAGTCATTTAAAAATTGCCTCATTTTTATCGTCCGCACACACACTGACTTGGAAAACACAACAACAACAACTACGGAAACTTTGTAAGAAAGCAAGGCCGGGCGCGGTGGCTGAGGCCTGTCATCCTGGCACTCTGGGAGGCCGAGGCGGGAGGATCACTCGAGGTCAGGAGTTCGAGACCAGCCTGAGCAAGAGGGAGACCCCGTCTCTACTAAAGACAGAAAGAAATTAATTGGCCAACTAAAAATATATATAGACAAATGAGCCGGCTGGTGGCGCATGCCTGTAGTCCCAGCTACTCGGGAGGACTGAGGCAGGAGGATCCTTGAGCCCAGGAGTGGAGGTTGCTGTGAGCAGGCTGACAGCCAGGCACTCCTCTAGCCTGGGCAACAAAGTAGCTCTGTCTCAAAACAAAAAAGCACGAATAAGCAAATTCATGTTTTCTACTTAACACTTTTAGAATTAGGACTCCCATTTCAAGTGACTACCTAAAAACGACCCAAAGTCCTATAATACGCCACTGCTGTGGATTAATTTCAGTGACTTCTAGGAATGGTGACAGATCGGAATGCTTTCCCTTTACGTGGTCAGGCTGGGTGCAGTGGCTCATGCCTGAAATCCCAGTGCTTTGGGAGGCTGAGGTGGGAGGGTCGTTTTAAGCCAAGAGTTTGAGATCAGCCTGAGCAACATAGCAAGATTCCATAGGTACAAAAGATTAAAAAAAAAAATTAGGTGTAGTTGCAAATGCCTATAATCCCAAGCTACTCAGGAGGCTGGGGCGGGAGGACAGTTTGAGCCCAGGATTTTGAGGTTGCAATGAGCTATGATTGCGACATGGCACTCCAGCCTGAGTGACAGAGCAAGACCCGGTCTCGAAAAAAATAATAATGAAGGTTTGATCATGTTCTTTCATGTCAAGGGCTCTGTTAGGTGCTTTAAAAGGATAATTTCATTCAGTCTTCAAAACTCTGTGAGAGTTAGATTTTATTACATCAGTTTTACAGATGGGAAATGAAAAGTTCGGTAGGTTATAATGTACCATAGGTTACTGGTAATGAAATGGCAGAGCCTGAATTCGAACCCAGGACTCTGGGTCCAAAGCCAGTGCTATTAGCCAGGGCACATACGGCCTGCTCAGCTGCTTCATGAGCACATACTATGTACCTAGCGATATGGCAGATCAGAGATTTGGCTCTAAAGACACAAGAGACCTGGCCATTTCCTTTGAGAAATTATAATCCAATATCAGATAACACATTTAATTTCTTATTTTTTTTTCCATTATTTAAAAATTTTATAATTTACACTTCTTATCTTTTTTAATTTTATTTTGGAACTACAAACAGTGGAAAGATAATACGATTAAAAAGCAACTGAAAAAGAAGATGTATTTGGGCTGGAGGTTTTACTACTCTAGGTGGCAAAGATGAAGAAGCATTTGAGTCTGACACTCCATAAAGAAACGTGTTATAGGGGAATGGGCATTTATTGAAACCTTAAAATCTGTACCCCCTAGATATGCCGAAAAAAAAAAAAAAAAAAAAAAAAGAAAGTGTTATGCCGGTCTTAAAACTGCATGTTTCAGATTATAGGATAGTTCTGTAAGGCTTTATAGACATTGTGGAGCAATTCATAGGAGGAGCGGACCTGAGTGAAGATTGGAGAAAACAATCAAAGCAAACATCTGAGATGATTTCAATTATACCCAAAAAGATTAATTTTAAAACGCACTGTGGCGACTGATTTTAACATAGACAACCTCTCTACGTGTAGGGAATGGCTCTGTTTCAGCTGCAGGACTTGGCCGAGGAAATTACCTGGCTTTGGCTTCTGCAAAGCCAAATAGCTGAACATCTATCTCAAATCCTTTCTGACAGCCTTGAACCTGTGCCCGATCAATGACTGACTGTGTGGGCTCTGCCATATTCAGATCAGTAATACAAAAGTTATTTCTCTAACATGTATTATTATATCTTAAATATGCATTTCAAACATAGGTAAGTATTGTTAGATATATACCGAGAGTAAAAACAATCTCCCATGTTGTTGTACATATTAAAATTCTATTAACACAGGGAGTATAAAGGATACAATTTTTATTGTAAGAGTAAACTCTGAAATATTGATTAATATTAATGTTATGTAAAAATAATGATCAAAGAGCTCCAAATTGTTGTGTGGGAAATGAACACACTGATAGAGCACATGAAGTTAAGACATTATTTTGAGCCGTAAATATTTATAAAATTTAAGTAGCAGATATTGATTAGATCAATATCTGTCATTGTAGAATTGTTGGGTATATGAGTTCATAACAGCCACCAATTTTCCTTTAAGAACTATATAATAAATTGATTTTAAATTAGCCCATGAGTGAAGAAAAAGTCCTATTTGGGAGTTCTTTATACTCTCTAATAACAACTTTTTTGCATCAGAGTCTGACTCTGTTGCCCGGGCTAGAGTGAATGCCCTGGCGTCAGCCTCGCCCACAGCAACCTCAAACCTCCTGGGCTCAAGCGATCCTCCTGCCTCAGCCTCCCGAGTAGCCGGGACCACAGGCATGTGCCACCATGCCCGGCTGATTTTTGATAATATATATTTTTAGTTGGCCAATTAATTTCTTTCTATTTATAATAAGACGGGTCTCGCTCTTGCTCAGGCTGGTCTCGAACTCCTGACCTTGAGCGATCCTCCCTTCTCGGCTCTAGAGTGCTAGGATGACAGGCTGAGCCACCACGGCTGCCCTCTAATAATAACTTTTGAATGTATGCTGCATTACCATTTAAAGGAAAATCTAGCATCTGACGATACTAAGAAATAACACATTCCGTCTTTCACAGAAATCAAACTTAAAAACCCGACGACTGATAATGAAACCGTTAAACAATTTTCGGATCTATTTCAGATCTATTCTGGCATCACAGATACCTGGCTATGTGCGTTTGCCAACACGGTATCTGCTGTGCTTCTAACACGGAATGCCACTTAGATACTTTGAGAATGGCCTGGTTGTTTTCTATTATTGGATGTCAACAACAGAAAAAAGAAACCATCGATGTTTATCTTTAAAAGGAAGATTATACCAAGGATATGTGCAGAAGGAAAAGGAAAAAAAAAAAAAGAAATGAAATAAATTTAAATAACATTAACATTGAAAAAAGAATAAAAAAAAAATAAATGACATGAAATTAACAGACTGAACGCACACAAATGAAAGTAAGTAAAGTGGAGGACAGAGGCACCTGGGGAGAACACGGCCCTGCACTGCCCTACGCTCTCTCACCTAGACAGTCCGGAGAAGTCCGCCTCTTCTCCTCACATCTCTCGTCCAGCCTCTTCAAGGCCAAGGTGACGTCGTCGTCACAGACCGACTCGGGGTACTCTCAGGAGCCAGAGGCTCTGCATTTCAGCTTCTTCTAAATCAAGAATCCCTTGACACAGAGGGAATCTGCTGCTCCTGAATCACATGTGAGCCTTCGTCTTCAAGCTGTAGCATGTCCCCTCTTTAACACTGAATTGAATCCTGCAGAACAATCATGTTTTTAGCGGATTCAAAAACATTAAAAAAAAACAAAAAGAAAATTTTATACATAGTAATTATTGCCATCTGTCTGTTTTATTACGTAGTCTTCCTTACACAGGCTAATCTGTAAAGTTTCTGAAACGATATTATAAAATTCGTTGTTTTTTTTTAATGGTCCCAGGTTTAGGATTTTTAAAAATATATCACCCATTGTCATATAGAAACATCGAGGAGTTTTTCCCCACCTTCTTCCTCTTAAGTGACAGGTCTTTCTGTTACTTAGAAATATGTTCCTTTGCCCGGTATGCGGCTCATGCCTGTGATCCTAGCACGCTGGGAGGGGCGGAGGATCGTCGAGTCAGGAGTTCGAGACAGCCTGAGCAAGAGTGGAGACCCTGTCTCTACTAAAATAGAAGAAATAATTGGCCAACTAAAAATACACGGAACAAAAATTAGCCGGGCGTGGGGCGCATGCCTGTAGTCACACTACTTGGGAGGCTGAGGCAGAGGATCGCTTGAGCCCAAGAGGCTGAAGCTGTGAACTAGCTGGCGCCATGGCCCTCTAGCCGGGCAACACAACAACAAAAAAAAAAGGATTTTTTTTCCCACTTCTTCCTCTTAAGTGATAAGAATCTAGATGTTTACTTAGAAATATGTCTTTGATAAAATATCTTCTCCATATATATTCTAATGCTATACAAGTAACTTTTATT